GCGGTCGCGCTGCGACCTCCTCTGGGCGCTTCAACACTTCTTTTCTAAAAGAGCGAATCTAAAAGAGCTCCACGAGTGACGCGGCATCTTTTTAAAGATGACCTTCGACTCGTGTGTTTCTGGATGTGGTCGCTTCCTGACTCCATCTGATGGTCACAATCTCTGCATCTCTTGCCTGGGCTTTGAGCACGCTGAAGCAGTGCTCGTGGATGACTCATGTTCTCATTGCGGGGACATGACCATTGCGATGTTGCGGTCGAGGCTCCTCTTCATCAAACGAGGAGGAGTCCCCTTCCCCATGCCCCATTCTAGTTCTTCTGTCTCCCAGCAGCGGAGGACTACTTCGGCGTGTGGCCAGGACGATCTGAGGATTACAGTGAGGGCTTCCCCATCGAGTGCGTCTCCACGGGCCCCTCACTCCTCCAGCACATCGCACCCTCTGTTGATCCGCGATGAGGTGGCTGAGACCCCGGACAGGGCGGGGTCTAGCATCTCATTCGGGCCTCCGGCAGATGACAGGATGTCGATCACTGCATCGGGGGACGAGCTAGGCTCTGGAGATGAAGACTCAGCTGCGCTGCCTCCGTCAGGAAGAGTGGCGTTGCCCGAGTCAGATCCAGAGCTGACTGCTATGCTTTCCCGGGCTGCCGAGAGCGTCGGGTTGCAATGGAAACCCCCTCCATCTCCCGAACGCTCGAGGTTGGATGATTGGTTACTGGGGGTGCCGCAGGCCGATCGTCGGCAGCCACCCTGGTTCCATTCTTCCCGGAAGTGCATGAAGAATTTACTAGATCTTGGAGGGCACCTTTTTCTGCCCGAAACAGAGCTAGTACTTCTTCCGTCCTCACTGCCCTCTACGGCGGGGTGGCTAAGGTGTATGTGGAGATCCCCCCAGCCGAACGCGCTATTGCGATGCAGCTCTGCCCACAAAGCGCCGCCGCCTGGCAAGGTAATCCACGCATCCCGTCCAGAGCTTGTAAGTTCTCGTCTGCTCTAATGGCCAAGGCTTACAGAGCTGCTGCACAGGCCGCCTCCGCCCTGCATGCCATGGACCTCCTGCAAGTCTACCAGGCTAAGGCATTGAAGCAGCTGCACAAGGGCAGTTCTGACCCAGGGGTAATGCAGAAACTGTGCACTGCGACGGACCTCACCCTTCGGGCGACAAAAGTCACGGCGCGGTCCCTCGGTCAGACGATGGAGCTGGCAGCAGGAAAGTGGCGCAGCCCGTCTCTGCCCCTGCCAGGCCCGTAAAGCGTTCCTGAGACGGGCGACCCGGAGACTCTGGATCCTGCTCTTCTGGAGATGGTGACCGCACCACTCCTTCCCCTGGAGGAGGGCCGGGTGGAGAATCTTTTGTTCAGTACCCAAACATTCAATAAAAGAGCAGATTCCTATTTCTCCGGGTCTCAAGAGGACGAGGATGGCAGTGTGTGAGGCACAGCCTCAACACTCCCGTCCCCCTCTCCTTTCGCCAGCGGGCAGCAGGGCCCGGTTCGAGGACGCTATGCCTTCACATGCGCCCCCTGCCCAACCGTGGATCCAGGTAAGTGTTGCACCTCGCACTCAGACCCCACTCCGGGACCCTGTGCCTTCCAGGTTGGGTCCCTGCGCTCCACCTCGCTGCCCCACTGCGGTTACGTCAGTGGTTCCCCTAGTCCCGCTTGCTCGGTTCCTGGGGGACTTGCTAGCACTCCCCAGACCGTCTCGCTGACTCACGAGAACCATCAGACTCGGCTATGCGATTCAGTTCGCCCGGCGTCCTCCCAAGTTCAGAGGCATTCGGTTCACCTCTGTGCCGAACAAGGATGCTCCCATCTTGCGAGCGGAAATCGCAGTACTGCTGGCGAAGGACGCGATAGAGCCGGTCCCTCCAGCCGATATGAAGTCAGGGTTTTACAGCCCCTACTTCATTGTACCCAAAAAAGGCGGTGGGTTACGACCAATCCTGGACCTGCGCGTTCTGAACCAGCCCTTCACAGGCTCCCGTTCAGGATGTTAACGCAGAAACTTATTTTTCGATGCGTTCGTCCGCACGATTGGTTTGCAGCAATCGACCTGAAAGACACGTGCTTTCATGTTTCGATCCTCCCTCGACACAGGCCGTTTCTCCACTTCGCATTCGAGGGGCGAGCATATCAGTACAAGGTCCTCCCCTTCGGGCTGTCCCTGTCGCCTCGTGTCTTCCCGGCGGGACGCCCCCCGTAGATGCCCGATCGCGGTCGTGCTCTCCTTTCTGGAAGAAGAGCTGGAGCGAAGGCTGTCTCCCTCCACCCTCAAAGTGTATGTTGTCGCTATCGCCGCACATCATGATGCAGTAGACTGAAAGTCTGTTGGGAAGCATGACTTGATCGTCAGGTTCCTTAGGGGTGCCACGAGGCTGAATCCTCCGCGCCCCCACCTGGTACCCTCTTGGGATCTCCCCTCGGTCCTGACGGCCTTGAAGGAGGAGCCCTTCGAACCTCTGCAGTCAGTAGAGCATAAGTTTCTGTAGCTAAAGACAGTGCTCCTCACTGCATTAGCTTCGGTCAAGAGGGTTGGGGACTTGCAGGCATTTTCGGTCGACGATATGTGCCTTGAATTCGGGCCAGCCGACTCTCACGTTGTCCTGAGACCCCGGCCTGGTTATGTGCCCAAAGTTCCCACCACACCTTTTAGGGATCAGGTGGTGAACTTGCGAGCGCTGCCCCGGGAGGAGGCAGACCCAGCCTTTGCTCTGCTCTGTCCCGTTCGCGCTTTGCGCACTTAAGTGGACTGTACGCAGAGCTTCAGGACCTCAGACCAGCTCTTTGTCTGCTTTAGAGGACAGCAGAAGGGAAAGGCTGTCTCCAAACAAAGACTTGCCCACTAAATAGTGGAGGCTATAGTCTTAGCATACCAGGCCCAACGTTTGCCATGCCCCCTCAGAGTGAGAGCACACTCTACGAGAGGTGTGGCATCTTCTTGGGCATTGGTGCGGCGAGCCTCAATAGCGGACATCTGTAGAGCTGCCGGCTGGGCGACGCCTAACACGTTTGCGAGATTCTATAATCTCCGTGTAGAGCCTGTGTCCTCTCGTGTACTTGCCTCAGATGGTCAGTAACACCGGACCCGCTCGGTGTCGATCACGCTTGCTGTGCCATTCCCCTCTACGGACCGGATACGTGCATTTAAGTGCTTCTCAGTTCAGTTTCCCTTTTTGGTGAACCCTGTTGAAGTTCCTCCTGCACCCTCGGCGGTCAGGCGTGGCGGAGCGCCAGACGCCAGGTCCAGCACTCGTGTGTATGCCCAAGGTCAGCCCTTGTGCTGGGCTAGGTGCTCGTGTGTATTGATTCCCCCTTCGGGTGATCCCACATGTGTATTCTTCCACGGTGCAGCTTCCCTCACGGTAAGTCCGTGTCTTTCCCTGGCAGAGTCCTTCTGCCATCTCTGCTGTGTATTGATCTCACCCCAGGTTGGCTGAGTCTACCGCAGGGACTTCCATATGTAGTACTGCCCTATGGCCAGTCCATATGTGTAACTTCCACATGATACCTCCTTTATGTAGAATGTGGCTTCCGTAGCGTTCCCCTACTTGGGTACGCTTTCCCAGTGTTATCTAATTTCCCACTGTACGGAACAGCATTCGGATCCCAATTCGTCAGTCACTGACGTAACGTTGAACGTGACTGACTGAAAGGGAACGTCTCGGTTACCGCGGCACAAACATCACACGCCAACACTTATTGGCTTGTTTTGTTAACACTCGAAGGTGATTGGTCTCTCTAGCGAGATCCCAATTCGTCAGTCACTGACGTAACGTCTCCGTTCCCTCCTTCAGGGAACGAGGGTTACATACGTAACCGAGACGTTTTCCCCATAGCGTCTTGGCAGACGAGGTTACGTTAGTAACGAGTACGTTATCTTTCTGTGATGATCGATGGGGACACAGACATGCTAGATCTGTGACTGACACACACATAGACACAAAGTATTAAAGCAATTATGCAGTTGTTGACAGTGTGAGTTTAGTTGCAGTGTGTGAGTTAAGTGCAGTTTGGGTGAGTTTGCTGGTCTGCAAATAAAATAGTTCTTGTCTGCCCACAGGTCTGTCCTGCTAATTTGAAATATAATGTTGTTGAAGTGTAAATGGATGTTTGGATTGTGTTTGTGTCCCTGCAGTCATTTTGGGCAAATAAAGAAAATGTTTGTCTGAAAACATTTCTTATTAAGTTTTGAATTATTAAAGCAAAAAGTATTAAAAACATTCCCGGACTATTTCATATTTTCTTTAAACTATTGATCATTTGTTTTTTGACATGTTATGTTGCAATTAAGACTGCTGTTACAAAGTGTTCATGGTTCTCAGGAAATGTCTAAATCCTGACCACTAACTGCCTCTGAACTTACTCAATAAGATTGCTACAGCATTGTGTTGATTTTTGTGTCCAACAATCTGACATTTGGGTTATTCTTTATTATTCACTTAGTCTTGTATCACGTTTTTCTTTATACAGTGGCTCTGAAGCATATTTGGGCACTTAAGCCACATATAAAATGCATCAGTGTCATTGTATCAGATTAGAAAATATCAAGCCAAATGAGTAACTTTCTCAGAACTAACTCTGAGGTGATTGTTAGTTAATGTATTACATCAGTTCACAGGTCTCACAAAAAGTGTTTAAATACTTTTTTTTATTTAATTTTTAACAATACATCTATTGTTTTATCATTACAAATGTCCCCACAAGTATAGTAATACCAGTAAATGTTGTCCTTGTGAGGACCCTTTGTGTGAGGGGTAGTTTTAGGGTTAAGGTAAGGGGATAGAAAATACAATTTGCACAGTGTAAAATACCACTGTGGAAACCTGTGTGTGTGTGTGTGTGTGTGTGTGTGTGTGTGTGTTATAGTAATACCAGTAAATGTTGTCCTTGTGAGGACCCTTTGTGTGAGGGGTAGTTTTAGGGTTAAGGTAAGGGGATAGAAAATACAATTTGCACAGTGTAAAATACCACTGTGGAAACCTGTGTGTGTGTGTGTGTGTGTGTGTTCACTGTGTTGCGTCAAGCCTGCTGCGTGGCGCATATAAAGGCGAGGTCAGGGAACAAGCTATCAAAATGTAGTTAGGGGGAAAAGTAAAACGCAAGTTACCCGAAATGGCTACCTTTCTTGTCATTATTACGACGATTCTTCTTACATTTGGGATAGTGTGGATATGCGGCCACTCACGGAAAAGGTGAGATGAACTCGCGGTCATTAACAGAATTCTATCTTGAATAACGCAATCTTCACGCTTAACGTTCGTAAGTTAGTGCACGTATAACAACTGAAAAAGGTAAGGTATATGGTTATATCTGTTTGTCATGTTACTACAGGAGGAACTGAAGTTTGAGGTCACGTATGGTAGAATCATACTACGACCACTGGTAAATTGTTAATTATTATTGCAACAGACGGATTAGGCTACAATACAACAAAACAAACATAGAATATATAAAACAAATGATTTTTTAAACACATTCTTCAATAAATAATGTGTAAGTGTGTGTAAGTATATCAAGTAATATGTTGGTTATGAGTATATGATGGTTAAATCTGCTGAATATTGATTTTGAAATATATATATATATATATCAGACATGATGCATGTGGCTAACTGAGAACATTACTTTATAGCCTACAGGAAATGTGACAAATTTATTATTATTAAAAAAAAAAATCAGATGTCCTATATGAATTTTTTTAATTGCTAACTATGCTCTCTGTCATTGTGTGTGTCTATTTACAGGCGAAAAGGGGAGCCTCCATTGATTACTGGTTGGCTGCCATTCATTGGTGTCACGTTGGATTATGTTTCAAACCCTTTAGGCTTCTTAAGAGAGACTCAGAAAAAATATGGGAATGTTTTCACATGTAAGATTGCTGGGAAGTACTTCACTTTTGTAACAGACCCTTTTTCTTTCTCCATTGTGATGCGGCAAAGCAAACATCTTGACTTTCAGAAGTTTGCTGTTGGTTTTTCACAGCGGGTAAGTGACTCAATACGAGGGGGTGGGGCATTATGAAACAAGCCTGGATCAAGAGTGTGTTGTGTTCTGATCTCCAGAGGCTTTTCTTTGAATGTTAATTTTAATCTCTTTAAAAAGAATGAGCAATAGCCTCTCAGTTCTCCAAAGAACCAGCTTCATTAACTATGTGAGGCTATAGGCGCAGTGACATCTAATCTTAAAATGTATGTATGCGGAGATGCCCAGTTTGCACCTGCATAATATCTCCCTTACTGACAATAGGTAGCCCAAAAGGCACCCCAAAAGCCTCCACCATCCAATGGGAAAGCATTGAGAGGAGATCGGCCTACTGTACCTTTATACTGAATAACCCATCAAATGAATAATTATTCTTCCAAAAAGATCATGCCCTGTTCACATATAAGCACAACCCTTATAAAACTATAAGTATACTATAAGACTACTTCTTACAAATATAATATACTTAAAAAGAATATACTTATGTGAAAAATAAATGTAATGTTTAAATGTATGTTAATTGCATTTAAAATAAAATGTATTATATTTTAAATTTATATTGAATTCAATAGTTGAGTATTTTTGGGCCACTAAGAAAGTACTTCTTTATATTTCTTAATTTCATAATTTCAAAATTACTTCATTATTGCATAATTACTTATATTGTCTTTGAGATATGATTAAAGTGTACTGCCGAATGTACTGACATGCATATGGTACACTAAAATACTTTAACATAATTTCTATTGAAATTTCTATGTCATGTGTTTAAATATATTTGTAATTACATATTTGTAATGTAGCAAAAAAACTAATGTTGCAAAAGTTGCAATTAAGTACATTAAGTATATTAAGTTTAAATGTAATATCTGATAACACTACAGTTAAAACTATAATCAAGTTATTTGCATGTGCTTTAGTATGTTAGTCAGCCATAAAAAATAAGTGCACTTCTTGAAAGTACAATGAAAGATTATTCAAATTTATTGATTTATAATATACTTATACTTAAAACTTTTAATTTGACAGTATTACAAAGCTAACTTTTTTAAATGTGTACTTAAGAAACATAGCTATGAAAATGTATTTTTAAGTACACTTAAGTGGCCTTTTATATATTAACATATTATTAATGTTATATTAATATATTATACTATTTTTTTTTTTAATTTTAAGTTTTTAGTACACTACAAGTGCATTAAGCATGGACATAGATAGCAATTTCCTATCCAACTGAAACGCATGTCATTTCAAGTCAGTACAGGTATCAGACAAATCACTGACCTCAAGAATAAAAGCCGAGTTATGCAGCACCTTAAACTTGTTACCGTCTAAAGTTTAGACATCCATGATGAAGTTACATGTCTGAACAAGTCATGTAACTTACCCACACCCTTAGCCTGTACTAAAACGAGGAGTAAGAGTGTTTTTTTTTAAAAGAGCTTTTATACTCTCTAGAACAATGCTTCCCAAACCTGTACTAGAGGCCCCCCACCACTGCAGGTTTTGGATGTCTCCCTTATCATGCACTGTTTGGTAGGGAAGGGCAGATGTGTGAAGCACTACTCTAGAGATGACTGAGTTCTCAAACATGCCACTTAAAATCACATAAGGAGCATGTAATGCTGGGTACACACCACAAGATAACCGGGCTGATTTTGGGCCGATTTCTCCCCTTCCGACAATCCTATGTGGGGGGAACCCCGAGGACACCACACACTATAGGAGCAACACGGTTAAATCTAGGATTTTTTGTCCTCATGTTTGTGGTCTCTCACATCTTGAAGATCTTATAAGATTTTACAAATCTTTTAGTGTGTACCCACTACCCAGCATTAATGGACTCTCATGGTTAATGGCTCCTCAGAACACTCTCTCCAAGCATTCTGATAAAAAAGCAAGGTGTTTCTGCTGAACTGGTGGTTCTGGTCGTCAAAAGCTCAGGAGACTCAACCTATGTAATTATCTCCCAACAATGACAGACCCCTTTGGAGTGAAGATGTGAGGATGATGAGTGAATATTTGAAAGAGAACTTACAAACTGTTGGATCTTATGACAAAGTGTTGTGATGTTCCTCATTTCAATCACTTTGAATATAATGGAATAAATGTAAATGTAATGTAAAACATTGGATAATAACTGGGTTTGATCCTGATTCTCTGCCTCTGTTTCTTATATGTCTGTTTATATTTCTCTTTCACACACACACAGGTCTTTGGTCATGCTGACTTTAACTCTTCACTGTTCAGTGAGAGTTATAGGGAAGTTCACAGCATTTTTCGACAGACACTTCAAGGCATGTCCCTGCAGCAGCTAACGGAGACCATGCTAGGCAATCTGCAGATGGTTTTGGAACGTGGTCTACCATATGAGCATGACTGGCTTGAAGAGGGTCTTCAGAGCTTCACAAACCGCATCATGTTTGAGGCAGGGTTTCTCACTCTGTTTGGAAAGGATGCAGGGTTTCTACAGGCCGATGGCATGTCAGGCACCAGAATATGCATGCAGAAAGCGGTGCAAGACTTTTTGGCATTTGATCGTGCTTTCCCTTTACTGGCTGCAGGGGTTCCTATTGGTCTGTGTGCAGAAGCATGGCAAGCAAGGGAAGCCTTAGCAGAGGAACTGCTACATGATAAGCTTCATCACCGGAACTGCATCTCAGATCTGATTCAGCGCAGAATGGATGCATTTGACCGCATGCATTTGGATGAAACTGGAAAAGCAAGGACACACGTGTGCATGCTATGGGCATCACAGGCTAATACTCTGCCAGCAGCTTTCTGGAGCCTGTACTACACATTGAGGTAAGTTGGCACATTACATAGGTAATGTAGACACTGTTAAAATCAATGTTAAAATGTATATGTCAAGTATGCAACAACACTAATTACTATGACTGTAAGCAAAAAACAAACAAACAAAAAAAAACATTAATTCCATATAGTGTTGGTAGTGTTAAATAAGTAAAAGGGAACATATGGTTTGTCAGACTAAAACTTTAAAGCATTATGTGATGTCATACTGAAGGGTTCAACCATTTGAGATCAGTGATTCTAATTTAAACTTGGAAATAATAATAATTTTGAATCATTTAAAATATGAAATGTTATGATATAAAATGGGAAATATTTTTTAGAATTCCACAATATTTATAGGTAACTAATCAAATATGAAAATTAATGACAATGACTTTGTACAAACGTTTGTACTTGTACTTCTGAAAACTTCTCAAGTTATACCATATAACATGGATCATCAGGTTTTGCATGTGTGGAGCTCATGCCAGTTTGAATGCTCCTTTCATTAAAGCAGGCCATTTCAAATACTATCACATTCTAAAATTATGTTGTTCATTCAAATTATTTATATTCTCCTGAGAGCCATAGAAAAAAAAGTTTTGTAAATTTTCTTTTTTACGTCATTACATTGTTTGGAGCATAAGAAACACATGGCATATATGCAATTTCTTTCCCTATTCACTTATTATGTCTCCCTAAAATACCTAATAAGCATGAAGTATGTCCTGGTGCCCACTACAGTGGATATATATGAAATTGATGCATGTCTCACAACAGAAAGTCATATACTGCTTTGAAACCCCAGGGCAAGCAAAGTTGTTCTGACATATTAATTTATGATAAACAGTTTGAAAATTAGTCCGATTTAAATGATAATTACAAAATATTATCATATTTCCATAAGAGTGCTGAATTTAGTCATATGTCTGTCACTTTTAAATACCAAGCAGGAGGAGCTCTCATGATCAAACCTTCAAACATTTGGTATCTCTGGAAAGTCCTAAATATGCTCTGCACAGGATATCCGAATTTAGAATTGTGGCAAGTATATGGTCACAGAGATATTAACTAAAATATAATGTCCTCTACAGAGGACAATATATGCCTGGGTCACAGGAGGATATAATGTGCAATGAAAACATGTATTAATTTAGAATACTAGATTTTCATTGTGGCCTCTGACTTTTTAACCTTTCTATAGGCCTGTTTGATAATACATTCACAGTAAAAATGAATGAAGTAAGCACCTACTTAAATTAAAGCGTGTGTATGTGTGTACATGTATGTTTGTGTGTTCTGACCCTCAGGTCTGTTGATGCTTTCACCGCTGCTTGCACAGAGATCAATAGGGTTTTGTCAGGTCAATTAATAAACAACCAGGACCAAACAATCTGCCTTTCTAGAGAGCAGCTGGACTCTATGGCTGTATTAGGTAGGTGATTTCTTATGGCTCGTCTCCACCGAGCGGTACGGGTCAGTACAGTACAGTACGGTACGATTTGGGACGGAACACCCTGATCCATCTTGCGTTTCCACTGCCAACACCTTACTTGTTAGGCGTCGTGTCTACTGGAAAGTAGCGATCTACACCATTCTCGCGTGAAGAAGAAAGCGCGACAATAGCCGTTTCTCAATATGACATAAAGCACAACTCTGCCTCTTTTGTTAAATGTCAGCTTCACCAATAATAGCCATTATAAATGTATAAGTACAAAGTATAAGAGGCTTATATAATAGAAAATAAAGACAAAAGCAAACAATTCAGTCAAATGTACGCTACAAAGTTAGCGCTATATGGTAAAATTAAATAAATATATAAAGTTATGAAACATAACTTTGTGCTCAGCCAAAACGATATGACCCGGAACAAATAATAGATTCATGAGACCAACGATTGCCTGTTATATAACCAAAACAAATTATATTTCATGTTTAACCACTACAGAGACATCAGAGCCAGTGGCAAAAGTCAGAAGGACTAGTAGCGTTAAGGCTGCTATCAGCCAGATACATGAGCACTGAGCACCCGGTGATCGTCTGGAGCTCACATCTCCAGAAAATTTTCAAATAGGCACTATCATTATAAATAAACCGCAAATTTTAATTTTACAGGGGTCATATGACATTGCTAAAAATAACATTATTTTCTATATTTGGTGTAATGAAAAATGTGTTTATGCGGTTTAAGTTTCAAAAAACACATTATTTTCCGTATACTGTACATTATTGTTGCTCCTCTATGCCCCGATGTTTCACAAGAACACAAGTACAGACAAGAACGTATATTGAGAAACGGCTATTGTCTGTGTAAAAATATAAAATTATAAAATACACTATTATATATTTTTTGTGTGTTTGTTCACTCTGATGTAAATAAGCCCAACATGCATGAACAGCATGGCAGAAGAAGTGAAGGAGACGCTTATAGCATGCGCAAGTGACGATTCTAGTCAACCAATCAACATTCTGCAGTGAGTCTAGCTCCACCCTTTTAGTACCTTTTGCTGTGCTAGGTACACCAACGGAAGGGTACCAAAAAAGTGGTATGGTACGGTTCGCTTTTTTGGTACCGTTCACAACTTCTGATAATGGAAATAATCGCGTACTGTACTGTACTGAACCGTACCGCTCGGTGGATTATTGCACTGTAACACGTGAACAGATTGATTGATTGATTGATTGCTGCAAGAGAAAACGAATGAGAAGTTCCCCCTTCCCCCTTGGAAGTTTGCCTCAAATGGCACCAGTTCAGAACCACTGTTTTAGACAATATTGGCAAGCATTAGTTTATTGTATGTCAGCTGTAAACATAATTATTGTTCATTTATGGTAATTCCTCAAATCCAAGAATACAGTATAGGCTTATCCCCAGAATTCTACTAGCTCATTAACCAGCTGAGTCTTTAATTCATGCTTTTTTTTTTTTTTTTAGTAGATACCATAGAGGACTAATATTTGTGAACATTTCAGGCTCCTATCCGGTCCCCCACTAGATTATTACCTGAACGAGAGGGGGATTTTACAAAATTGCACTTTCTCACTCATTTTAGCCCCCATTAAAAATAATAAATAAAAAACAAAATAAATAAATATAAAATAAACTAATACTGTAAAATAAAAATAAAAATGGTGTTTTTTCAATACCAATACATACAGGTAATCACTCACTACAAATAGGACAATTAAAATGGTGAAGCAACCAACTTTTGATACATTGCAAGACTACAGCCATGCAGATATTCAGACCAACAGCATCAAGAATTTTGTATTTGTTTGTATTTTTCCACAACATTCTTTCTTGTATGATAATGCTTAGGTGATATTTTGATAATTAGTAATATTAGTAATATTATTTTTTTAATTAAATGTTAAAGTGGTATATAAGTTAAATACTTTTTTGTTTTTTCCAGAAAGTATTATTGAAGAAGCGCTTCGCCTGTCTAGTGCCTCCATTATGATACGTGTTGCCAGTGATGACTTTACGCTGACACTGGATTCAGGTCAGACAGCTGATGTGAGAAAAGGAGATTACATTGCTCTTTACCCCCAACTTATACACTTGGATCCTGAAATCTACCCCAATCCTACAGTATGTGTTCAAACTCATTGTCAATTATTTTTTATTAACCAATGAGCTCTCCCAAACCACGAGCTTATACAAATTAGACAGATTTTAGATCATTTCCATCTGTAGGATATTTATAATATTTAGAATGTAATTATGTTAATTATGTTTATTGTATGGAAGTATGGTAGTATGTATGTAGTTTGCACTTAAATGTATACAAGATTACAAAGATTGCAGATGTTCCTAATGCACAATTCCAATACAGCATGTAATTGTTATAAAATATGTCACTCAATGCATTTAATGTACTTACATAGTAGTAACTTTGATACTGTAATGTTTTAGGCATTACAATGACTTTTTAAACACAGACAGCCATGTACAGTAAATAAAATGTTCCTCTGTTTCCCAGGAGTTCAAATATAACCGCTTCCTGGATGAAAAAGATCAACGAAAGAGTAATTTCTTCAAAAATGAGCGACGGTTAAAGCATTTCTTGTTGCCGTTTGGTTCTGGTGCTAGCGAGTGCCCTGGCCGTTTTTTTGCAGTAAATGAGATTAAACAGTTCCTCGCACTGACACTGTGGCATTATGACCTACAGCTCAGTGACTCTGATGCCACTCTGGTTCCAGACAATACTCGTGCAGGCCTGGGTATACTGCCACCATCACGAGATGTCCTTCTCAGATACAGAAGGAAAACCAACACCACCACAGAACAGTTAAGATAGGAAATGGAAGTAGATGGAAAGTATAAGATGCAAGAAGGAACATGAAGACCTTTGCCTATAGGACAAGTGAAATGGCAGTCTATCTAGTTTCTATATGGTAAATGATGATTTGACTTTGTATGATGGACTGAAATCAATGAAAACGTAGCACTCTACATTGGCCTATAATAATAAAGTCAAATAAAGCCAAAAATCTAAAAATTGCCAGGAAATTACAGGTTCAAAAAGTGTAAGAAATTTACTGTGAAATAAAATGACTGTGAATGGACATTTACTGTTCTTGTTTTACTGTAAATTCACATTATAAAGTTGTCTTTAACTGTGCCACTGTGAGAAATGTATTTGTTTATTACTGTAATTGGTTTGAAGTCACCATAATGGTGATTGATGATCCCATTTGTTTAGGGCTCTGACATTGCACATTTATATTCAAATTTCTGATCTAGTCGTGTCAGAAGTATGATAAATGAAAACATTTGTCAAAATAATGACAAGCTAAAAACACAGTATGATGCTGTTTGTTTACAATAAATTTCTGAGTGCAGTTAGATCCAAGAGAAATCCTACTGTGAAAAGTGTAACTCGGAATATACTTTAACTTCACATTAAAATATTTTTTTTAACAGTGTGCCATCATCAAATGATGGTAATATTTAGGCTTACACATAAATAAAATCTTTACACATAAATAAAAATGTAAATGACTATATGAATGACCACGAACAGCCAATGCCCCTTTTTCGGAAGGTTTAAGAAGGTTATTGGAGTAACCTGTGCCACTTTGGTGTGTGTGTGTGTGTGTGTGTGTGTACCTGTTTTTCTATTCTGGTGGGGACTTAAACCTGAATACACACAGACTCGTGGGGACTCGTGTCACGGTGGGGACCTAAATTGAGGTCCCCACGGGTAAACAAGCTAATAAATCACACATAATGAAGTTTTTTGAAAATCTAAAAATGCAGAAAGTTTCCTGTGAGGGGTAGGTTTAGGGGTAGGGTTGGTGTAGGGCAATAGAAAATACGGTCTGTACAGTAGAAAAACCATTACACCTATGGAGAGTCCCCACAAGGATAGCTGACCAGACATGAGTG